TAGTCTATAGTCTAGTCTATAGTCTAGTCTATAGTCTAGTCTATAGTCTAGTCTATAGTCTAGTCTATAGTCTATAGTCTAGTCTATAGTCTAGTCTATAGTCTAGTCTATAGTCTAGTCTATAGTCTAGTCTATAGTCTAGTCTATAGTCTAGTCTATAGTCTAGTCTAGTCTAGTCTATAGTCTAGTCTATAGTCTAGTCTATAGTCTAGTCTATAGTCTAGTCTATAGTCTAGTCTATAGTCTAGTCTATAGTCTAGTCTATAGTCTAGTCTATAGTCTAGTCTATAGTCTAGTCTATAGTCTAGTCTATAGTCTAGTCTATAGTCTAGTCTATAGTCTAGTCTATAGTCTAGTCTATAGTCTAGTCTATAGTCTAGTCTATAGTCTAGTCTATAGTCTAGTCTATAGTCTAGTCTAGAGTCTAGTCTATAGTCTAGTCTATAGTCTAGTCTATAGTCTAGTCTAGTCTAGTCTATAGTCTAGTCTATAGTCTAATTCATATTATAGATTATAGTCTAGTCTTTAGATTAGTCTATAGTCTAATTCATATTATAGATTATAGTCTAGTCTTTAGATGAGTCTATTGTTTAGTCTATAGTCTGGTCAATCGTACATTTTCACACTAGTAATGATACTTGTGGAATTGCCTTGATTTCTTCAGAGGGTACCTTGTTGTATCCTTCTGGTTCTGGCGGGTTAAACGCATAAGTATATAAGAACATAAAAAATAGCTTTATTTTATTTACTTTGTTAAATACAGAGAAAAAATAATTTTATTGCAATTTTTTATTTAACTTTTGCCGTTAGTTTGTTAAATTTATAGAAAAGAGAATTACAATAAGATTCGTAATCGCACTTATTTCTTGACCAATGCGTCATATTTAAATAAAGAAAAAACATAGAGAAATATAAAATAAAGATTTTTCTAAAAAAAAATTTCGTAATTATTTACATCAGGTGAATTTAAAAAAATACACAAAATTGTTTATTTTATTTATTTCTTTATTTAATTGCCAAAAACGTGACTTTATTGCTTATTAAATTTTTACAGCTCTCATCTCAATTTTTATAAAAAATTGGTGCTCAATTTTTCTTTCTCGAATAGATTCGAAATTATTTTATACAATTTTCAAAATTTTCGAATAACTCTCTCACACTCACTATCTCTCAATGTCTTCATGTTTTATTAAATGGGAAGTGTGTGTATATTTTATGTTTTTTTTCAGGGAGGTCGGGAAGGTGTTTTATTAATTATTTGGAATTTTTTCAGGTTAATATTTTAATACTGAAAATAAAACTGAAAAAATAATATTGCTAGTATGGGTCTGTTTTTGTGGAATTGAAATTAAAAATAGACTTAGTTGTTATTAAATTTGTATTATTCTTAATGATAGACATGTTTAAAAATATCTACAAACGAATTTTCATTTAAATTTTACTTTATGCGTTACAAATGTGAATATAGAAGGAGTGAAAATGAAGATTTCCTTTCCTTCATTCCAAAATTCAATTTTTGAGTGAAAACATAAAAGTCCATTTTCTGGCTAAACTAGAGGCCCCAGGGCTAAAAGGATTGAAATCTGTGATCACTTTTATTTTCAACCAAAATTCGATTTTTTGAGTGAAAACATTAAAGTCCATTTTCTGGCTAAACTGGAGGCCCCAGGGCAAAAAGCATTAAAAACTGTGATTGCTTTAAGTTCCCACCAAAATTCGATTTTTTGAGTGAAAACATAAAAGTTCATTTTCTGGCTAAACTAGAGGACCCAGGGCAAAAAGCATTGAAATCTGTGATCACTTTTATTTCATTCCAAAATTAAATTTTTGAGTGAAAACATAAAAGTTAATTTTCTGGCTAAATTAGAGGCCCCAGAGCAAAAACCATTAAAATCTGTGATCACTTTTATTTTCAACTAAAATTCAACTTTTGAGTGAAAACATAAAAGTCCATTATTGTCTGGCTAAACTAGAGGCCCCAGGGCAAAAAGGATTAAAATCTGTGATCACTTCTATATCCCACCAAAATTAAATTTTTGAGTGAAAACATAAAAGTCCATTTTCTGGCTAAAGTAGAGGCCCCAGGTCAAAAAGCATTAAAAACTGTGGTCACTTTAATTTCCCACCAAAATTCGATTTTTTCAGTGAAATCATAAAAGTCCATTTTCTGGCTAAACTAGAGGCCCCAAGGCAAAAAGCATTAAAAACTATAGTTACATTAATTTCCCACCAAAATTCGATTTTTTGAGTGAAAACATAAAAGTTCATTTTCTGGCTAAACTAAAGGCCCCAGGGCAAAAAGCATTAAAATCTGTGATCAGTTTTAATTCCCATCAAAATTCAATTTTTTGAGTGAAAACATAAAAGTTCATTTTCTGGGTAAACTAGAGGCCCCAGGGCAAAAAGCATTAAAATCTGTGATCATTTTTATCCCCACCAAAATTCGATTTTTGAGTGAAAACATAAAAGTCCCTTTTCTGGGTAAATTAGAGGCCCCAGGGCAAAAAGCATTAAAATCTGTGATCACTTTTATTTCCCACAAAAATTCGATTTTTTGAGTGAAAACATAAAAGTCCATTTTCTGGCTAAACTAGCGGCCCCAAGGCAAAAAGCATTAAAATCTGTGATAACTTTTATTTCTTATCAAAATTCAACTTTTGAGTGAAAACATAAAAGTCCATTTTCTGGCTAAATTAGAGGCCACAGGGCAAAAAGCATTAAAATCTGTGATCACTTTTATTTTCCACCAAAATTCGGTTTTTTGAGTGAAAACATAAAAGTTCATTTTCTGGCTAAACTAAAGGCCCCAGGGCAAAAAGCATTAAAATCTGTGATCAGTTTTAATTCCCATCAAAATTCAATTTTTTGAGTGAAAACATAAAAGTTCATTTTCTGGGTAAACTAGAGGCCCCAGGGCAAAAAGCATTAAAATCTGTGATCATTTTTATCCCCACCAAAATTCGATTTTTGAGTGAAAACATAAAAGTCCCTTTTCTGGGTAAATTAGAGGCCCCAGGGCAAAAAGCATTAAAATCTGTGATCACTTTTATCAACACCAAAATTCGGTTTTTTGAGTGAAAACATAAAAGTCCATTTTCTGGCTAAACTAGAGGACCCAGGGCAAAAAGCATTAAAATCTGTGATCACTTTTATTTCCCACCAAATCTGTGATCACTTTTATTTTCAACCAAAATCCGATTTTTTGGGTGAAAACATAAAAGTCCATTTTCTGGCTAAACTAGAGGACCCAGGGCAAAAAGGATTGAAATCTGTGATCACTTTAATTTCCCACCAAAATTCGATTTTTTGAGTGAAAACATTTTCTGGGTAAACTGGAGGCCCCAGGGCAAAAAGCATTAAAATCTGTGATCACTTTTATTTCCCACCAAATCTGTGATCACTTTAATTTTCCACCAAAATTCGATTTTTTTAGTGAAAACATAAAAGTCCATTTTCTGGCTAAACTAGAGGCCCCAGGGCAAAAGGATTAAAATCTGTGATCACTTTAATTTCCCACCAAAATTGGATTTTTTGAGTGAAAACATTTTCTGGGTAAACTAGAGGCCCCAGGGCAAAAAGCATTAAAATCTGTGATCACTTTTATTTCCCACCAAAATTCAATATTTTAAGTGAAAACATAAAAGTCCATTGAGGCCCCAGGTCAGAAAGCATTTAAGTCTGTGATCACTTTTATTTCCCACCAAGATTCGATGTTTTGAGTGAAAACATAAAAGTCCATTTTCTGGCTAAACTAGAAGCCCCAGGGCAAAAAGGATTGAAATCTGTGATCACTTTTATTTCCCACCAAAATTTGATTTTTTGAGTGAAAACATAAAAGTCCATTTTCTGGCTAAACTAGAAGCCCGAGGTCAAAAAGCATTAAAATCTGTGATCACTTTTATTTCTGACCGAAATTCAACTTTTGAGTGAAAACATAAAAGTCCATTTTCTGGGTAAACTAGAAGCCCCAGGGCAAAAAGGATTGAAATGTGTGATCACTTTTATTTCTTATCAAAATTCAACTTTTGAGTGAAAACATAAAAGTCCAATTTCTGGCTAAACTAGAGGCCCCAGGGCAAAAGGCATTAAAATCTGTGATCACTTCTATTTCTCACAAAAATTCAATGTTTGAGTGAAAATATAAAAGTCCATTTTCTGTCTAAACTAGAAGCCCCAGGGCAAAAAGGAAATTAAACTTTTGAGTGAAAACATAAAATGTCCATTTTCTGTCTAAACTAGAGGCCCGAGGACTAAAAGGTTTGAAATCTTTGATCACTTTTATTTTCAACCAAAATTCGATTTTTTGAGTGAAAACATAAAAGTCCAATTTCTGGCTAAACTAGAGGCCCCAGGGCAAAAAGCATTAAAATCTGTAATCACTTTTATTTTCCACCTAAATTAAATTTTTTGAGTGAAAACATAAAAGTCCATTTTCTGACTAAACTAGAGGCCCCAGGGCAAAAAGCATTAAAATCTGTGATCACTTTTATTTCCCACCAAAATTCAACTTTTAAGTGAAAACATGAAAATCCATTTTCTGGCTAAACTAGAGGCCCCAGGGCAAAAAGCATTAACATTTTGGAAAATTTTAAAATTTAAAAAAATATTTATATATTTTGATTACTTAGTGAGAAAGTTAATAGATATCTGCAGGTATTTAGTATTTATTTGGTTTTTCAAATCATATGTTATAGAATCATGTTTTTTTTTATTGAAATTCCCATACACACACTTGGTATACAAAACAACGAAAAATACAATGTTTTTTTTTCAAAACTTTTTTTTCTAAATACAAAATTTCAGCTGATGCCAAGTATGAAAAAAAGTGTGTGTATTCGATTAACGAAAACATTTGTCTATATAGTATATACAAACCAGATAAAAGATAAAATGAAAAACCGAAAGAAAAATTTAAAGAAAACAACAAAAACAAATTTTGAAATAAAATTTTTCGAAAATACTATTTTTAAAAATAGACTTTACCGTCAGTTTTTCACGAGTAGTGCTGGCGATAAGATGGGAATTTGTTAAAGAGATATTATATTTTTTTTGGTTAAAAGTGATTTTTGTTAAAGAAAAAAAAACGAGGTAGAAATAAAAAACAAAGAGTTTTGAATAAAAAAATTTTATTAAAAAAAAAAAGATTTGAAAAATTTCAAAATTAAATAGAAAAGTGGAAAAATTGTATATTTAACCTTTAACTGGTGTTTTGGGTTAAAGCAAATTCAAATTCATTTATCTATACTAGAATTGTGTTGAAATTGAAAATTTTCAAGAAAAAAATCGTGACGGTGATGAGATAGAGGCGAAAATTTAAAAAAAATACAAAGATACAGAAATACAGATAATTAAAGCGAATAAACCCTAAAAGCGATTTTGAAACGCAATTTACCATAAGAAATCCTTTGTTGTTTTTTTTTTCTTTCTTGTGCATATATATCTACTATTTTGTTGTTGTTTTTATTTGTTTAAGCGAAAAGAAAATAAAAATTATTTAGAACAATTGTTGTTGTTTTCTCAATAATAATAAAATAAAAATATAAGAAAAAAAAGAAAATTTCAATTCAATTGTTCAATAAGACTTTGCCGAAAGGGGTAGTGAAAGAGTAAAATTTTTACATAAATAACAAAGTCATTGTGGATGCAATGGCCAGTAGTGAATCAAATACCTTTGAAGAAGAATCAATCCCTGAGACGATAACGACTACGACTACAGCAAATATGCCTATAGAATCAACACCAACACAAATTCACAACGAATTAGAAATGGAAACGGAAAAGGTAGAGAATTTAAACCAAGCTGCAGCCACAACAAGATCAGCCTCTTATAGGGGTGTACGTTTATCGGAATCCGACTTAAATGATGAACAAGAAAACGATCAAGATTCCTGGTGGTCTGAAGTGGAAAATAATGATCTGTTATTGGATCAAGTGCCCAATGTTACTTCGGTTTTTACCCCTTCACCGGAAGCTATACTGGAGAAAAGCATTTCATTGGCCGAAAGTGAAAGTCTTCTGAAGGGAGAGGAAAATTTTGAACGTTTGCATAGAATAGCGGATAAAATTAAAATGACATTGAGTGAACATGCCAAAAATAAAGAAATAGAAGAAAAAGCCGAAAGAGAACGTAAATTAAGTGAAACTAGTGATAAAGAACATAAAACCGGTTCTTTTGAAGAGGCTGGTAAAGAACAAACTTTAGAAGAATTCAAAGAAGAATTGCGCACTAAACGTTTGCTAAGACAAAACGCAGTACAAGATTTGCGTGATGAAATTGCCTCACTACGACGTCAATTGGATTTAGAGCGTGAGGTCAATAAACGTCTGCGACGTGGTGAACATATAGAAGAAAGTTCTCTAAACACTAACACTGATTCTGTGGACTTAGCTGGTGCCTGTGCTGCCACTTCTAGTCTCTCTGATGATGAAGATCCTTTAAGTCGCAGCCGTCATGCCAATATAGAATTGGCTAATGCTCAACTAGCCTTACAAATGGCCAATTCGGAGAATATTTCTTTGCGTGGTGAATTGGCAGTGGTGCAGAAACAAGTCATTACTTTGAAAGAGGTTATTGCTTGTTGCAAACAAATGTTGGCCGTTAAGGAGGAGCAATGCAATGAGGTAAGTTGTAAGGGTGACTATAGTGTAAACAATTTTAGTTAACATAAACAAATTTTTTCTGATCTTAAAAAAATTTATAAACAATCATAAACTATTCTTTGTTAGAGGAACATATATTTTCTTTGGTATTTTTGTATTAATCATTTAGATGGTGAAATTATTAAACAAAGAATATATAGGATATAGATTTTTTGAAGATGAGTTATATAGATATAGGAAATGTTTTTCTTAAAGAAATATTTACTTTCATCTGCATAAAATAAAATTTTTATTTTATAAAAGGTTTATAAAACAAAATTTATTTTATAAACTTGTTATACAATTTAACTTTTTTTATAGAAATTTAGTTTTTTAAAGGTTTTATTATTTTTTGAAAGGTTTATTAATCAAATTTTTTTTTATGAAAATTTTGTTTTATAAACCATTTATAATCATTTTATTTAAGTTTCGCAAATAGTCCTAGAATGTATGATTATAGCCTCATTATATTTTGATGTTGATATCAATCAGCCAAGGGGTGTAATGATTACACAAAGTAATGTATTACTTTGTCAATTACAATTACTTGTAATGTGTAATTGTGGAATAACAAATTACTACTACTTGTAATGTGTAATTGAACTATAACCAATTACAATTAGTTGCACAAAGTTATTCATTACATAGTCAATTACAATTACTTGTAATGGGTAATTGAGCATTAATCAATTACAATTACTTGTAATTGTAATTGAAGTTTTGCTTGTAATTAGGGTATCACTAATTACAAATAACATGTAATTATAGGGAAGAAAATTCACAATTGTAAGTAATTTATTTTCAATTACAATTATAAGTAATTGTAATTCGCAAAACTTCAATTACAACTAAAAGTAATTGCAATTGATAAAGCTTCAATTACAATTAGTTCAAATGTAATTTTAATTGATTTACATAATCACTACTCCCTAAGACTGATATAACTGATGTTTGATCGCAAATTGGAAATCAATTTTGTGAAATCGTTTGAGAAGTAGTTATCTAGTCTGTTAGACTATGGGCTCGATTGCCACCAGAGACACTGGTAAAGGAGCGCACAACATTCCCGGTTGAGGCCTAGGTATATTTTTTTCAGATTTGATGTAAAAAATTGATTATGACATCGGCACTCGTTCTATTAAATGGGTTTTGAATCAGTTCTTTAATCACTTCTAGTTCTAAATCACTCTAGGCAAACCTTGGAGAACATATTCACCTTTTGTAAATAAATTATTTATTGTCTCAGTTATCTATATATGCATATGAATGAATTATACTTTATACTAAACGGCCGGGCCTATTTTTCTGAATCACAGTGTCTTCCTATATGTCTGAAAGGAACTATATACTACTTTTTACTTCATGATTTCAAGAGGGCGTAGTGCCATGCCCACTTACAAAATAAGTATTAAAAATCGCTTATCTGAGAAACGGCAAGAGCTAGAGAATTGAATACATGGGAATGAATCCAGTGGGCGGGGCACCTCCCATATAAAGAAAATCTTAAATAAGTATATCTGAGTCCTCATTTTTTCCGAAGAAGTTTAGTATCAACTTAAATGTTTAGGACCAAAAATTGGAGGAAGTAGAAATTGGGGGCGTGGCACCTCGCATTTAAATTAAATATGAAACTGGGAATCTTAAAATTTAGCACAAAGACCTTTTACATCCATATCAATAATTATGAGAAAAATGGGCGGACTTTCATAAGGGGGTCTTGGTACCTCCCATACGGGGCACCTCCCATATAAAGAAAATCTTAAATTAGTATATCTGAGTCCTCTCTTCTTTCCGAGGAACTTTAGTACCAACATGAATGCAAGTTGGGGTCGTGGCACCTCGCATATGAATTAAATAGTAAAATTCGTTTAACTGGGAATCTTAAAATTTTGCACAAAGACCTTTTACATCCATATCAATAATTTTGAGAAAAATGGGCGGACTTTCATAAGGGGGTCTTGGTATCTCACATACGGATTGAATATAAAAATTGTTATATCTGAGACACTATTAAAGCAGAAATTTTAAAATTTTGCACGAAATACTTTGAAATCCAAGTGAGCATTTGGGTAATAAATGGGGTATTAGATTTTAGGGGCGTGGTACCGCCCATTTAAATTAGAAAATTCTTTTATCTATATAACTATTGGAGCTAGAATCTTCAAATTTTGTACGAAGAACTTCAACATACATTTGAACATTGGGAAGAAAAATGGACGGACTTTTATTAGGCGAGACTCCCATATGAATTAAGTACAAAAATTCGTGTATCCATGTGAACGTTTGAGTAATAAATTGGCGGAATTTCGATAGGGGCTTGGTACCTTCCATATGAAGTAAATACAAAAATTCGTTTATCTGGGAAACTGTTAGAGATTCTTCAAAAACTTAAGGGTGTTTTTCATTTATATTGACTTTAGGGTAGCAAAGCACACTGGGTATAGCTAGTAACTGTATAAAACTTACTCATATCATCTTTATTTTGAATTTTTTTTCGCCGCCATTAATCTACTAAAAGATTTTTCATGAAGGATATATGAATCGAGCTGAAAATGGGACTGCGAGATGCGATTTTTTATAATGTGGACCATACAGTTGAAGCAAAGAGTCGACTTTTTCTAATTCTTGCTATAATGTATATGAAAAGCCTACTTTCCGACTTTCAACAATTAAGGATTTACATATCTATATCCACCATAGATAATTTTGTTATTTATTACCACAATTTACTAATTCCGTAGATTTATTCAAAATTTTAGTAAATAACTTAACTAAGATATTTAAACCTAAACAAAAAATTTCCGTTGGCTTTCTGACAATATACAAACAAAATTTTCCATAGGTATAAAATAATTCGTCATAAATGTAATGTAAATATTCTCCCAAGAAAAACACAAACTTTTATTAATTGTATTTTTATATGTATTTTCATAATTCAAATAGATTTTTCGATAAAGGAAACTCGAAAAAGTCGATATCGTATGGAGAGATAACAAAAATAAAATTTCCAAAATAAAATATTTTGTCTATGAATTTCTCACTTTATTCGATGGCACATTTTGAAGGCATAACTACACAAACAAATTAAAATACACAGCCACAGGAAACAAATTGTAACGGTGAGGAAGGAAACGAAACAAGTGAAAATTCGTAGAACGTTGTAAATCGTTGACGTAAATTGTGAAATGGAATCAACGTAAATTTGATTACACGAAAATCGAATGTTGAAATATTGTACTATTGCAAAATATTTGTAAATCTAACAAGCTATCTAATTTTATAACTATTTTTATTATATATATAACTTTTTACTATTGTAAAGAATTTTTGTTAACATTTTTAATTATTAATAAATAAAATAAGAAAAGTATATTAATTTAAATTTGAATATAAACAAAATAATTTCTGATGTTTCTTCGAAGTTGCGCCATTAGGTTAACAATTTAATATGCGCATAACGTACAAATGCGCAATTAATGTTGGTAAACAAGGCAACTTTAAAATTTTGTCTAATTTATTTGACTAGATTGTAGACTAGACTATAGACTAGACTATAGACTAGACTATAGACTAGACTATAGACTAGACTATAGACTAGACTATACTACTATAGACTAGACTATAGACTAGACTATAGACTAGACTATAGACTAGACTATAGACTAGACTATAGACTAGACTATAGACTAGCTAGACTATAGACTAGACTATAGACTAGACTATAGACTAGACTATAGACTAGACTATAGACTAGACTATAGACTAGACTATGACTAGACTATAGACTAGACTATAGACTAGACTATAGACTAGACTATAGACTAGACTATAGACTAGACTATAGACTAGACTATAGACTAGACTATAGACTAGACTATAGACTAGACTATAGACTAGACTATAGACTAGACTATAGACTAGACTATAGACTAGACTATAGACTAGACTATAGACTAGACTATAGACTAGACTATAGACTAGACTATAGACTAGACTATAGACTAGACTATAGACTAGACTATAGACTAGACTATAGACTAGACTATAGACTAGACTATAGACTAGACTATAGACTAGACTATAGACTAGACTATAGACTAGACTATAGACTAGACTATAGACTAGACTATAGACTAGACTAGACTAGACTATAGACTAGACTATAGACTAGACTATAGACTAGACTATAGACTAGACTATAGACTAGACTATAGACTAGACTATAGACTAGACTATAGACTAGACTATAGACTAGACTATAGACTAGACTATAGACTAGACTATAGACTAGACTATAGACTAGACTATAGACTAGACTATAGACTAGACTATAGACTAGACTATAGCTAGACTATAGACTAGACTATAGACTAGACTATAGACTAGACTATAGACTAGACTATAGACTAGACTATAGACTAGACTATAGACTAGACTATAGACTAGACTATAGACTAGACTATAGACTAGACTATAGACTAGACTATAGACTAGACTATAGACTAGACTATAGAAGACGACTATAGACTAGACTATAGACTAGACTATAGACTAGACCATAGGCTAGACTATAGACTAGACCATAGACTAGACTATAGACTAGACTATAGACTAGACTATAGACTAGACCATAGACTAGACTATAGACTAGACTATAGACTAGACCATAGACTAGACATAGACTAGACTATAGACTAGACTATAGACTAGACCATAGACTAGACTATAGACTAGACTATAGACTAGACTATAGACTAGACTAGGCTAGACTATAGACTAGACTATTAGACTAGACTATAGACTAGACTATAGACTAGACTATAGACTAGACTATAGACTAGATTATAGACTAGACTATAGACTAGACTATAGACTAGACTATAGACTAGACTATAGACTAGACTATAGACTAGACTATAGACTAGACTATAGACTAGACTATAGACTAGACTAGACTAGACTATAGACTAGACTATAGACTAGACTATAGACTAGACTTAGACTAGACTATAGACTAGACTAAAGACTAGACTATAGACTAGACTATAGACTAGACTATAGACTAGACTAGACTATAGACTAGACTATAGACTAGACTATAGACTAGACTATAGACTAGACTAAAGACTAGACTATAGACTAGACTATAGACTAGACTATAGACTAGACTATAGACTAGACTATAGACTAGACTATAGACTAGACTATAGACTAGACTATAGACAAGACTATAGACTAGACTATAGAACTATAGACTAGACTATAGACTAGACTATAGACTAGACTATAGACTAGACTATAGACTAGACTATAGACTAGACTATAGACTAGACTATAGACTAGACTATAGACTAGATATAGACTAGACTATAGACTAGACTATAGACTAGACTATAGACTAGACTATAGACTAGACTATAGACTAGACTATAGACTAGACTATAGACTAGACTATAGACTAGACTATAGACTAGACTAGACTAGACTAGACTATAGACTATGTTGTCCAAATCGGTGAACTTTCTTCTAATTTTAAGACGGAATTAATCTATAGCTATATAATTAAAACTTTTTAAAGAATTATACTCTTTAAACAAGTAAGAAAGTATAGTCGGGCGTGGCCGACCTTATGATACCCTACACCAGTTATGAATATTAAATGTGATTTACATATTTTTCATAATAAAGCATTTATCTTGAATATTTAATTTATTGACGAAAAACTAATTTTCTAAAAGAGGCTTTATATAGGGGATAGGAGCAAAAGTAGCCCGATCCTGATAAAACGGGCTGGATCGATTTTTATTTATATAATATTTGTCTGTGCTAAATTTCATTGCAATAACAGTGTTAATAAATGAATTGCGGATATTCAAGTCACTTTCTGAGGGGGGCTTAGTATGGGGGCTGGGGTCAAATGAAGTCCAATCATTTCGAGATTTGGCAAGATCATTAAGGCTTGTAGTAAACTTACTTGTGCGAACTTTCATCGAGATACATTTATATTATACATAATTATGAGCTCAAAAACCTTTTTCGGGAGGTTCAGTTGTATGGGGACTAGGTAAAATAATGGACCGATTTCAACTATTTTCAATAGTCCTTGGATCAAAACAATCGTGTATTCCAAATTTCATCAAATTATCTTGAAAATTGCGACCTGTACTTTGATAACAACGTTTACATGGACACACGGACGGACATCGTTAAATCTACTCAGAAAGTGATTCTGAGTCGATCGGTATACTTTAAGGTGGGTATAGTACTAATATTTTAATGCGTTACAAACATCAGCACAAACGCATAATAACCTTCCCACTATAGTGGTGTAGGGTATATAAATGTATAAATGATGGCATGATGCATACGTAACTAAATACTTTAAAATACATATAATACTGTGGACCAACTAGCTTTAAATTTAAATAATTTCTAAAAACTATACTCTGAAAATTCTCTCTCTAAAAACTAAAAATAACGAATTTAAATTTTTGTGTGAAACAAAATAGATTTATGGATGTGTTTTTAATTATTCACCTACAAAAAATTCGCACACACTCACTTAAATAAGTGACTGACCTAATTGTCATATATAGACCTCATTACCGACACATTTTTAAATACAAAATGTTTTTGCAGCAATTACCAGTAATACTCAAAAGCAAAAAAACTATAATTTTCAAATAAAATAACCATAAATCCGTATAAATTTAAGGCATAAATATACAACAGATTTATGAAACAATTATTAAACAAATATGTATGTGTGTATTTTTTTAATAAATTTATTATGATATTGCATTTATTAAAAAATAACTAAAAATTGAGGCGAAAAAGGACTTCAACAAACCAAACAGTTTTCAGTTCAACCGCAAAAAGCAATAAGTAATTGAAGAAAAATTGTTGTGGTCAAAAATGTTGCAAAAAAGTAAAAATTTAAAAAAATATATTTTTGCGGGTATAAATTAAATATTTAAAACAAAATTGTGTCCCCATATTTACAACGCATGAACAAATATATTTATGTGATGTTATGGATATAACAATAAATTTTGTTGAAAGTGGGAATTTTTTTTTCAAAAGACATACATATATACATATGTATTTCTTTAACATTAATATATGCATATTTTTGTGAATAAAATTATGTAATTGCTTTTAAATATTATGACAATTTTTTTTTTTTTTTGCAACAAACTATTAATAAATTTTTTCAATAAAAATTAGTCAAGCATGACTAAAAATAGCATATATTGTCTTGAAAGAACTAATACTCATTTATCATGTTCATGAATGTCTGGTAAAGCCACACGTATGTATTGTGTATCTCGGATTAACATGACATTATGATGTAATAATAACAATTATGATGGAGGATGCACTTGTGCAATGAAATAATAAGAAATTTGTGTATGATAGTGTAATTTTTGACTTATTAAACTTTAAGCAGAATAAAAAATATTTTAATTTAAACATAGTCAAGAAATATAGACAACTGTCTAGACAAAAGTCTAGATATAGACTAGACTATAGACTAGGAACTATAGATAGGACTATAGACTTAGACTATAGACTAGATATAGACTAGACTATAGACTAGACTATGACTAGACTAAGACTAGACTATAGACTAGACTATAGACTAGACTATTAGCACTAGACTATAGACTAGACTATCGACTAGACTATAGGACTAGGACTATAGACTAGACTACGACTAGGGACTATAGACTAGACTATAGACTAGGACTATAGAATAGACTATCGCTAGAACTATAGACTAGACTTAGACTATAGACTATAGACTAGACTATAGACTAGACTATAGACTAGACTATAGACTAGACTATAGACTAGACTATAGACTAGACTATAGACTAGACTATAGACTAGACTATAGACTAGACTATAGACTAAGACTAGACTAGATATAGACTAGACTATGACTAGACTTAGACTAGACTATAGACTAGACTATAGACTAGACTATAGACTAGACTATAGACTAGACTATAGACTAGACTATAGACTAGACTATAGACTAGACTATAGACTAGATTATAGACTAGACTATAGACTAGACTATAGACTAGACTATAGACTCGACTATAGACTAGACTATAGACTAGACTATAGACTAGACTATAGACTAGACTATAGACTAGACTATAGACTAGACTATAGACTAGACTATAGACTAGACTATAGACTAGACTATAGACTAGACTATAGACTAGACTATAGACTAGACTATAGACTAGACTATAGACTAGACTATAGACTAGACTATAGACTAGACTATAGACTAGACTATAGACTAGACTATAGACTAGACTATAGACTAGACTATAGACTAGACTATAGACTAGAC